ATACATGAAATATCATCAGATATAAAAAGGAATGGGCATTGACACATGCTGTGACATGGATAAATCGTGGAAAGTGAAGAAAGCCAGTCACAGAAGAACACATACTGTATTCCATTTATATAATACCCCAAAATGCAAATCCAGAGACAAAAAGTAGATAATTGCTTAGGGCTGGGGGTGGGGTTGAACTGCTGAGGGCTGGGGATTAACTACTAATGAGTACAGGGCTTCTTTTAAGGAGGATAAAAATATTCTAAAATTAGATTGTGGTGATGGTTGCAGAAACCTGTGATTGTATTAAAAAACAGAATTGTACAGAGTAATTCTGATGGTATGTGAATTACATCTCAATAAGGCCTTTTAAAAAATATATAGGCAAAAGCTGAAAGCAGGTGTGTATGCAAGTTATGAAAATAGAAGGCGCAGAAATGCAAAATTATTTGATCGCTTTAATTGGTGATTGTAAACCTAGAAGTGAAAACGTCTTAACTATGGAGTTAAGACAGTTGTTGTTTCTTCAGTTATTCCTATATTGCATCTTGATGATGCAAATACAAGAACCAGAAAGTAATAAGGCAAAACCTATTAGCACTGTATCTGAAACCTAGAAAAAGCATTTACAAGGATCTGCTCCAGGTTCACACATGACAATTGATGCAGTTACATTCAGAAGACAATGCCCTTATTGGGTGTATATATATATCATCACAACTGTGAAAATATGAACACACATTTGGGTTTGCTATTTATTTTAAATTCTAAAAAAGTTCCTTACTATCTTTTCTTTTTTTTTTTTTTTTTTTGCAGTAAGTTATTTAAAAAAGTAACTTAGAAACATTTTTTTATATGGATCTATTGGGCACAGATGGTAAATGCTGTCATTATTTTCCCTAGTATACCGAACATAGATACTGGCTGAGACTACTTCCTGCCTTTGTACATTTTTACTTATGTTCTTATCTCCTCTGACAACTCACAATTTTGTCTTTTCCTTAGAAATTCAGACATATAAAAATGTTAAGATGTCTTTCTCTGTCTAAACTCTTTGGGCTTCCTTCTCTGTATGAAAGAATAGGGAAAATTAAGTTTGTTTGGCATTTTCCAAAGTTCAATTAATTCAAAACTATTATAAGAGCTCTTCAAAAACATAAACTTAAAAGTTCTTGGCAAATCAGTAGTTCAGAATTCTTCAGATAAACTATGCACAAGTAAAATTTGGGGTTTTAAAAATGTATTTATTTGTTGTTCAAGTACAGTTTTCTGTCTTTTACTCCCATCCCAGCCCACCCCCCCCCACCCCAGTGCTCCTCACTTCCCTCCCATTTCCACCTCCCTTATTTTTTTTCCATGTGTCCTTTATACTAGTTCCTGTAAATCCTTCCCCCTTTTCCCCTGAAATTCCCTCCCCTCTCCCCTCTGGTCACTGTCAGCCTGTAAAATTTGTTAATAAAAATGTTTCAATGTATCTTAGTCTATTCAAGATTCTATAACAAAATACCAGACTGACTAGTTTATATCAACAGAAATTAGTTTCTCGCAGTTTTGGAGGCTGAAGTCCAAGATTAAGGTGCCAGGATGGTCAGGTGAGGGCCCTCGTCCATCTATCATAGACTTCTTTATGTATCCTCACATTGTTTAAGAGGCAAGGTAGCTCTCTCAAAGGAACTAATTTCATTCATGAGAGCTTACCCTCATGACCTAATCACTGCCCGAGGGCCCCACCTCCTAATATCATCACACTGGGCATTAGAATTTCAGTGTATGAGTTTTGTGGGGACATAACACATTCAGACCATAGCAAATGACAGTGTACATTTCTGGTAAAAAGAAACAAGTTCATGTTCATGTATAGACTGATACAATAATTGTCAACAAAAAGATATACTTTACAGAGTAAAGGACAATCACTGTCCATAATATGTTTTGAGTCTCGCAGTAATTATCACTTGTAATAATACAAATTAATTGTGCTATACCTCAACAGTGGATTCCACTCTCCTCCGTTCTACAAAAACATTACTGTCTGTAACATCCTCAATCTTCAGCAAACTGTCTTCTGGAAGAGACATCAGAGAAAAACCGCCCTCAATCAAAAATTAGCCTAACAGACACTATGCAACTGCCATGGCAATAAAACTCCAAGATACTGATTCTGGATTCATTTTCCCACCTAAATCACAAATATTTTGTCCAGGCAGCTGGACCACCACTCCATCAGGAGTCTTTAAACCTACGATTCTTAGGAATCCTTCAGAAGCCAATATCTTTGGATGAAGAGCATTCACCAAGACCCTCAAGTCAAGCAGATGACAACAAAAAGTAGACAGCTACTGACCAAACCAAAAAAAAAAGGTTAATTTTTTTACCTTTGCTCCTTTTCCTTCTTTTGCTTATTATGGTTTGGCACTTCCTGAAGATCATCCAAGTTTTCTTAGTATACTCTTACATCTTTTTCATTGTATTCTTAATCCTCTATGGTCTTTATTGGTTACTTTAAGAAACAAAAAGTTTGCCCTGGCTGGTGTGGCTCAGTGGACTGAGCGCTGGCCTGTGAACCAAAGGGTCATTGCTTTGATTCCCAGTCAGGGCACATGCCTGGGTTGTGGACCGGGTACACAGTTGGGGTCACATAAGAGGCAACCACACATTGATGTTCCTCTTCCTTTCTCCTTCCCTGCCCCTCTCTCTAAAAACAAATGAATAAAATGTTAAAGGAAATGCAAAAACGTTCAGCAGTTTCCTCAGACCATAGCAATTCTGAATCTGTCAAGTTCCACTTGACAGAATATTAAAAGATTTAATATTCATTCCTTTAAATTCCTGAGATCAATTCCCTCCCCAAAGAGCCCATCTGATATTTGAATCTTCCTCACATTATTTGTCCCAATTTTCCTTCTTGTAAAAACTGGAACTTTTCTCCAAGTCAGCAAAATGCTTATGTTACGATCATTACGGCACTGATCCAGCACCGAGCTCCCCAGAAGGGGCAACGCTGGAACTCGTCATTTTCTCCTAAGATTTCCCAGACATCCATGCAGGAACTCAACTGCAGAATGTGCCCAACCGTAAGGAAACGATTATTGGCTCATCCCTGCTATAAAATATATTTATACTCCTAATAGTATATGTAACTGACCAGGGATTACTTATGTCAACACCAGGCTTTCATCTACCTCCTAAACTTAGATACATCTTACATACTTGAACTAATGAAGAGGCGTTCAGATAGTTAAAGCCCCTTTCTCTTCAGTGTAGTGTTTTCTTGAAAAGGATAACCAGAAACTTTCAAAATGAAGCGTATATTGGCTACTAAGGAGGACTCTCTTGATGCATACTATGCAAGGCTACCTACAACAGCAAGAATAATACAACTAGAAAAGGATGTCCAAATTTAGGACTCGTCCTGTGCTACAGCAAGTGGTTCCAGTTTTGACTCATTGCTGTGCAAGCCCAACAAACTCGTTTACGTTCACCACCTATAACTGTTATGGACAATCACATAGCATTTTATTTCCTCTCGGCAAGCCACGTGGCAGTTTGTATTTAACACTTCCTGCTGCAACTCTATCAAGATACCTGGACACATGGAACAGTCTCTGACTAGGCTAAGGGAAAATCAGACTGTAGGACATGTTTTTGTGACTGGGGTCTCGCTTTGCATTCTAATAAACACAATCATTCTGCTTCTACTGATTTTATTACAGTTGGCTGGCACATTTTGTGCAGTCTTAACTCCTGCTGGGTAGCCACTGTCATGTCACATGATTCATCAATGATCAACTATTGTTAGCATAAAGGCTTGAAACTAATGATACCATGGAGTACTTGACACGCAGTAAATCGCAGTACAAATCTGAACTGATCATAACTCCAGAAGATAATGGTCTATCCTCTGACTTAGGCTGAAGAAAGACCAGGAGGGAACTGAAAATTGAAAGAGAAAGCACAATTTGCAAAAATGTGCAACTTGCAATAAAGTTATAATAAGTCTACCAAACTTTAACAATGCAAAAAATTACCTAACCTCAAATTCTTAACACCAGCTCAATCAGATGCATGTGTTTAAAGACCACAAACTGATCTAACACTAATTCTGCATAGGTTCAAATGTTCTTAGAGAGAGTGACTGTACCAGCAACTCTCTACTGTCCAAATTTTCAGCAATCTCTACTAAGATAATCCAAAACTAACTCCAGGTCCCAGACTCCTATATGTACCCTTCCTTTGGAGTCACCACATGGTTCTTATATATGCACTCGTTTGGTAAAGCAAGCTAACAAACGTAGCTTTGGTTACAGGTGAGATCCTGGTGGTTTTGGTCAATGGAAGCCACCAGTGCAAATGAGTCTGAGTTCCCTTTTGAATGACATAACAGCTTTATCTCCATACACAAGATAATGAATCCTATATTCTTAACAAAAATGTCTAACAAGACTACCTGTATTAAATAAAACCTCATCAGTATTAACCACGGCAATTTTGTAAATACCTAGGTATGAATTTGCAGATATAAAAAACTGACAGCCAGCCTGTATTAAGTGAAAAAAATAAAACCTGTAATCCTAAACAATATTAACTGAAAATTATTTTTCCATATGTAAAAGTATATATTTGATATTTTTTTAAATTCCCCCAAATTTTGACACAGTTGATTTTAACTATTCTAACAAACTAATATAAAAATAAAAGATTATAAATGCAATGCCATTTGGAAACACTATCAATGCCATTTGGAACACTTTCATTGTAAATATGCTTTATTTTTAAGTAAAAAATGAATCATAGCCAAAACAAAATGCTTTGTCTCTGAATATTTTAAGCTTAAGGGGAAATAGTCATGAATGAGAAACATATTTTCATTTTCAATGTCTTTAATTTTTTATAAAGATTTTAGTTATGCTTCAAAGTCACTAAGCAGTTTCTAAACGTAGCTTTCATGACCCTTTTAATTTCATGCTTTTAAATAGTCATTTATCTTCAAAACATGACAAATTTCAGAATCCATTAAAAATTATTTTATTCGAATTATGTTTTCCAAAAAAGAGGGTTCTGTGCCAGTCGTCTTTGAAAGTTCTCATACCTACAAAAGAAAGAAAACCAAATTTACAAGAAAATTAAAATCTTTCATAATTTTCCAAATGATTTATAAAAAAGGAAACAATTTTACATGCCATTTTGAAAAAGCTAAGAACCTAAAAAGCTAAAAAGTTAATCTGAAAGTTTAATTATTAATTTATAAAAAGATAGCAAACATAGTGATTTAAGTATAACTGGCTCATATCAAAAAGCACAAACCATAGTAAATTTTACTAATTGTTTATCTTCTTCAAATCTAAGAGCTACAAGGGACCTAAAGGAAAAAAAAAATCAAATCTAACTCTTGTTTCCTCATTTCACAGCTAAGTACATGACAGTAACAGATTCAAGGTTATACAGCTACACTGTAGCAAAGCTCAACTCTAATATATTTCAATGCTATTCATGCTTTACCATGCTATGTCTTCTCAATAAACATTCCCTGTGCATCCCCACCCCCACCAGCAGGATAGTCAAAGTTAAAAGAAACACCTACAAAAATGAAAACATGGGAAACTGGGGAAATATAATCATTAATCATTCATGTACAGGGTGCAGTATAAACCACCCTGATGCCTTATGCATATTTTCTTTAAGTCAAATCATTCTAAACTTACAAAAATTAAAGTTTCAATTGATATTTCAAGCCTCATAAATGGTACTTATAATCCAAAATATAAAAAACTGCCCTGGCTGGTGTGGCTTAGTAGACTTGAGTGCTGGCCTGTGAAGCAAGGGGTCACTGGTTCATTTCCCACTCAGGGTACACGCCCGGGTTGTAGGCCAGGTCCCCAGTAGGGGGCATGCAAGATGCAACCACACATTGATGTTTCTCTCCCTCTCGTTCTCCCTCCTTTCCCCCTAAACATAAATAAATAAAACCTTTAAAATATATATAGTTGCATAGTATATATAAACTATAAAACCTTTAAAATATATATATAATTGTATTATATATATACACACACACTATATATATATAATTTACACTCCTTAATTGTGGTCTCTAAAACACAGACAATTGTATTGTCCTGTCTTTATAAATTCAAAATGGCTACTATATGAGAATATTTAGGGTAATAACCATTTCTAATCTGAATTCTGTAGTATATACTTTTTAATGGCATGCAAACTGCAATGTATAGTGTTCACAATAAAAATATGTTTAAATGTCAAAGAAGAAACATGTTCACAGGCAAAAAACATATATGGTTACAAAAATATTAGACACAAAACTGCCCCATACCATTTCAGAACCACATTTGCTGGAATGAACATTTCAGATGGACTTGGTGTCATCTGGGCCTGAGAGAGAGCAAATGATGAAGCAAAATTGTAGAAGTTGTCCAACATCTTTTGTGTGAACTGAAAAGTTAATAATGAATAGATTAGTGTATTTTACTAAATATTCCATTTAGACCTTAATATTTTAAATATAATGCCCTGGCTGGTGTGGCTCAGTGGATTGAGTGCTGGCCTGCAAATCAAAAGATTGCCATTAGATTTCAGGTCAGGTCACATGCCTGGGTTGCAGGCCAGGTCTCCAGTTGGGGAGAAGCAAGAGGCAACCAATTAATGTGTTTCTCTCCCTCTCCTTCTCCCTCCCTTCCCATCTCTCTAAAAACAAATAAAAACGTTAAGATATTCCTGCATTAACTCAGTTTTAAGAACTGAGTTCTGAGACAATTTAATGGTGAAAGTTAAGGGAGGTCATAAAATGACATTATGGCACAAAAATACTAACAATCTGCCTTTAGTACTTTCTTCGTATCTCAAAGAATTTCTATTACCAAATATTTTATGTTCCTAATGATTTATTTGGGGGGAAAAATGTTTTTCCTTCAAAGTATCTTCTTTTATCTCTATCTCTGTATCAACTATGTTCATCTCCTCAAAAATCACCCTCCTCAAACCAACCTATTTTCTTCTCATATAAAGCAGTTACCATGTCTAAGAAATGTTTTTCTTACAAGACAAAACTTAAATAAAGGAACAACCAGTTACTTGCCATCAAATATAAAGAACAGAAAGGCAACACTATTCCACTTCTATTTCCTCACCTGTTCCTTCTCACTGACCTTCAAACGGGCAAATCCACACATCCTTCACATCTGGTTTAGGCATTAAGCCCAAAAGTAAATGAACTACTGGAGACAAAACTACCTTCAATTCACTCAAAAATAATCTTCCTAACATCACTTTCTCCGGAACACAAAACCAGCCAGTAAGTCTCCTGCTGTCTCTTTTCTAACACGAGAGGAAGTATCTCATTAGGGTTTCTGTTGAATACTATCAAGGTACTTTAATTCAAGAGAATCCACTATTAAAACACTTGAACTATTGGGCTGGCCAAAAAATTTATTTAGTTTTTTCCATAAGATGAAAGACATGTTTTTCGTTTTCACCAATAACTTTATTGATTTGGGTATTTTGATTATGGCAGCTATCTTGCATGTGGTAGAATGTTGATTGTTCTCAATGAACGTCTCAATTTGATCGCTACTGACTTCCAACTAGTCTACCTGACCATAGAGCATAGACCAGCGAGATCTCTCCAGCATGAAACTTCACAAACCATTTCTGACACGGTTCAATCAGTCACAGCACCTTCTGCATACACTGTACTAACCTTTTTTTGTGTTTCAGTTGTGTTTTTACTTTTCTTGAAATAATGAAGGATAATACACCAAAAATGTTGCTTATTTTCTTCCATCTTCAATATTAAAATGGCTGCACAAAATTCACCTATTTTAATATTTTTTGTTATTTTTATTTTTTAAAGATTTTATTTATTTACCTTTAGAGACAGGGGAAAGACGGATAAAGAGAGAGAAAGATATTAATGTGTGAAAAAAACATCAGTTGGTTGCCTCTCACATGCCTCCAACTGGGGACCCAGCCCACAACCCAGGCATGTACCCCAACTGAGAATCGAACTGGTGACCTTCTGGTTCCCAAGCCCGGCACTCAATGCACTGGGCCACACTACCCACGGCAATAAGTTTCTTTTTAAATGTACTTTGAGCCCTGGCTGGAATAGCTCAGTGGATTGAGCATGGGCCTGTGAACCACACAATCGCGGTTCGATTCCCAGTCAGGGCATATGCCTGGGTTGTAGGCCAGTTCCCTGCAGGTCAGTTCCCAGCAGGGGACGCACGAAAGGCAACCACACATTGATGTTTCTCTCCTCCTCTCCTTCCCTTCCTCTCTCAAAGATAAATAAAATCTTAAAAATAAATAAATAAATAAATGTACTTTGATAATGACAGCTGTCACAATACAATGTAACAAAACTGTTTTCAGTAAAGTTAAAGACAACCAAGCCAACTACAGCCATCTTACAAAAAAAAACAAACAGCCCTGACTACTGCAGCTCAGTGGATTGAGCACGGGCCTGTGAACCAGAGGATCATGGTTCAATTCCCAGTCAGGGCACATGCCTGGGTTGTAGCACATGCCTGGGTTGCAGGCCAGTTCCGAGCAGGGGACACACGAGAAGCAACCACACATTGATATTTCTCTCCCTCTCTCCTTTCCTTCCTCTCTATAGGTAAATAAATAAAATCTTTAAAAAAATTATTTCGGCCAACCCAGTAATATCACAGTCCAGTAACAGTGCTGAAGGATCAGTATCAGCAAGAGGTGGGGGCAAGGAGGGAGGGCATCAACAGCAACCCTCCACGCTAGCAACAAAAAACCTTATATGTTAAATTTTAAAAGATCCAATTCAGAATAGAAACAAAGTCTTTAAAATATGGGGGGGGGCGTGGTTTAAACAAGCTGATAACACTTGTGGAAACTATTCTAACACTCTTGAAAAGAAAACACACGAAAGGACTTAATGCCATGCTCAGTGGAAAGATAAAACATGTTCACAGGTAGGAAACCTAATGTGATAATGGTAGCGATTCTGCCCAAACCTATAATCCAGTGTTACTTCCAACTAAATTCCAACAAGGTTTTTTTCATGGAACTCAACATGATATTAAAATTATTCTGAAGAATACCTAGGCCTATTTTGATGACTAGGAGAAGGGACCTGGCCTATCAAGCATTAAGACTTTTACTGACAAAGGGACAGGCAAATAACTGGAATAAAAGAGAGAGCCCAGAAACAAACCTAAGCATATGTGACAACATGATAAACAGGGTCCAGCAAATGTAACACCTGCTTGAGTGTAGTTGGTAGAATAATATGGGGTTAACAATTCAGTTTTAATTTGAACATTTCACCTAAAATGTCGTATGGTGTGCCTGAGTGTGATATTGTTATAGTACAGAATTACATGCTTATGATTTTGTAATGGAAGATTTTGTAAAATCTTCCAAGGTATTTTTGTAAAATACCTTGACGACAGCTGTGCAACAGACAAATAATCAGTCAACATTAAAACAACAACAACAAAAATATTTCCAAAAGAGATGCTTTAGAAAGACAAATTTTAAATGGCTATGTTTAAATATATTGAATGGGAATTTATACATGGAAAAAGTTTGGGCATAAAGTACAAATGAAAATAGAAATCCATGCAAAAGTGATCCTTTCAAAATTTAAGTTAAATCATATTACTCTTCTGCTCAAAACTCTTTATGATTTTCTCCTCCAAACAGAATATAAACCAAAGTCCTTAAAAAAGGCAACGAGGTCCCATATGATTTGTCCTGCAGCCACCTCCCCCATTATCTCCAGCCTCATCTGCCGTGTCTCACCTTTGCTCACACTATTCCGGCCACAGGCACCTTCACGTTATTCCTCAAACCTAACAGATTTCTGCTGCAGGGCCTTTGCACTAGCTCCACCTTTGCCTAGCCCCTCCTCCCCTTCTCAGGCTTCCGCTATACAGCCTTAAGTCAACCCTTACAGGATTATAGCACTTACAGGGTTAGAACCATTTAAGTTCCATGAGCACAAGGATCTTGCTTAACAGGTTCACAACTACATACCCACTATCTAACATAGTAATTGTGGAAGGGAAAGAGAAAAACTTATAATTAAGCCCATATTTATCACTATACAAACATAAGTCTCATAAAAGCACTTACAAATTTTAAAATACCTACAAAGAAAGCAGACCAGCTAAAAATGTCCATGGAAGCCAATAACTTATGTCACATACAGGATGGAGCAAAATAAGGTTTATAGCTGTGAGTACACAAAACACAGTTTCTTCTTCATTAATTATTGTATTATTTTCCATACAAACAACCATAAACCTACTTTTGCCCATCCTGTGTGTTTACCTATATTTTTACATGTTTTCTACACCAATTTTTAAAGTATAGAATATAACTTTTTAAGTATTTTAGAAGGTAATCAAATGTGCATTACGTTACCTGAGTGAATGAGTCAACTGAGGATACAGCAGCATTACCTACGGGTGTCTGCTGAGCCAGACTGTCCAATAATTCCACTGAGATTCCAATCTGAGCAACAGATGGCGTTCGGACAATATTCATGGCTCCAAAAGGGTGTTGGCTTCCTTCTCCTGAAAGAAATTGACATGTGCCATATGTTTCAAGTTTAACTTGTATCCCATACAAATAGCTTTGTAAATATGTGAAGAACCTCTTATCTACATGCTCAGAATAGTTCTGCTACATGAAAACCTGTCTTTTCAGATAAATGTAAAAACCCATCTAGTCTTTTACCTAATACGGAGTAAGACAACTGAAATTTTCCCTACTAAAAAAATAGCTGTTACCTTTCTAAAACGTTAAAATTTACTGCAGCTTATTGAAAAACTTATCTAATGAACAAAATGAACTTTTTTCATTTTGAGAAACAAAATAGAAACAAAGGCATGTGTACATGGAACAGACTGACAGCTGTCAGAAAAGAGCAAGGAGGGGGACTGGATGAAAGAGGGTGGCGGGGTTAGCCAAGGAACACGTACGCATGACAAGCAGACAGACAGCAGTGTGGTGATGGCCAGAGGGAGGGTCGGGGGAGTTGTGTGGAGGTGGGCAAAGTTGGGGAAATGAGGACATCTGTAATAATGTCAACAGTAAAAGTTTTAAAAAATGTTAACTTTTAGTGGTGGGGAAAATATTCAGATTAAATTTCTATTAGAAATACATAGAATGAGAGAGAAACAAATGAGCATTAATTAGAAATAAGATTCTCAATGCTAACTCTCTCAGGGGAAAATACGTTTTAAGAGTTTCAGATAAATGTTAATTAGCTTTAACATTTTCTGGTTATTCCACTAAAGATCTTTAAACTGCCATTATTACTAATAAACAACATAGTGTATTTTACTAAATATCATGGATCATCCCACCTTTAACACCTGATGATCTGGAATCAAAAGCAATAAAGAAATTTGTCACTTATTCACGAAACATATTTGATAACCTTTCCCCTTTATATTTTACCCTTTAAAATATATCAAGTATGCATCTGATCCTGTGTCAGCTAACTTATACACAGAAAATATAGGCCAATTTTATTAATCCACATAAAACATAATCAGAAAAGGTCTGATAAGGGGGGAAAATCATACAACAGATACATTTGGGGATTATCTAGTATTTCTTATGAGTGTAAAATATTTAAACAAATAATAAAGAATAAAACTCTGGAACAATACACATTCCTACAACTAGAACTCACTGCAACTACCAAAACTCTTCTTAAATTTCCAAGCACATGAATAAAAACTTATCAATTTATATATATTGTGCTTAAAAACTGTACACACACATCACTAAGACTCAGATATTTTCAGTATTTTTAAGTTGTTTTAATTTCCACACCTTTGTGAATTTTCTCATTTAACTATTATTTCTAATTTCTATCAATGTGGTTAGAAAACCACATTGTATGATTTTAATACTTTAAAATATACTGGAACTTGTTTTGTGGCCTAATATAAGGCCTATACAAGGAAATGGTCCACATACACTTAAAATGTGTATTCTTCTGTTGCTAGGTAGAATGTTCTATTTAAGTCTGTTTAGTTAGCTTATAGTGTTGTTCAAGTCTTCTATTTCCCTGACAATTTTCTATCTACTTGTTCTTTATTGAAAGTAGGGTATTGAAGTTTCCAACTTTTATTGCTGAACTTTCTTCCTGTCAGTTTCTGCTTTATGTATTTGGAGGCTCTGTTGTTATGTGCACACAGTTTATAAGTTATATTTCCTCCTACGGACAAGACCGTTTTATCATTATGCAATGCCCTTGTATCTCCCATTAACAATGTTCATCTTAAGTCTATTTAGTCTTAATTTTACAACTTACTCCAGCTCCCTTTTGGTTTCTGTTTGCATATACCTTTTTTTTTTATCCTTTACTTGTACAATTTGTACATTTGCATCAGTCGTTAGATCGTTGTTTATTTATCCATTCCGCAAACCTCTGCCTTTTTTTTTCCCATGCCTTTGAGTGACAGCTGCCCCTGGCACAGTTCCAGGGCAAGGATGCACCCGAGGGTTTTTCTTTCAGCACCGGCAAACCTCTGCCTTTTAATTGTTAAGTTTAATATCACGTTAAACACAAACTTGCTATTATACCATTTCTTTTACTACATATTTTTTGTTTTGTTAGTGTCTGCACTGGAAATTACAATTAGCATCTTAATTTATAACATCCTAATTTGGATTAATACCAATTTACTTCCGATAGTATACAAAAATGTTGCTTGCAGATAACTCGTTCCTTACATTGTTATTGTCATAAATTATACCTTTATATATAATATGCCCATAAACATAGGCTTACAGCTTTTGTTTTATGAAGTTGTCTTTTATATGAGGTAAAAAAAAGAGAAATTACTACAAATGAAATGTGTAATACTGACCTTTATAATTACCTATGTAGTTACCTTTACCTGTGTCTTTTCCTACTGTGATTGTGAATTACTGTTTCATACTCTCTCTTTTCAGCCTGAAGGACTCCTTTAGCATTTCTTATAGGGATAGGTTTAATACATTTCTGGTAAGAAATGAGCTATAATCTTAAGGATCCCTTTATGTGATGAGTTGCTTCTCTTGCTGTTGTCATGATGCAGTTTGTCTCTGGCAGTTTGATTATGTCTTCACTTGGAGTTTATCCTACTTGGGAGTTCACTGAGCTTGTTAAATAAGTAGATTAATGATTTTCATCAAATTTACAAAGTTTTAGGGCATTATTTCTTCAATATCCTCTCCACCTCTTCTGTTTTCTCTCCTTCTGGGACTCCCTTTGTACATATGCTGATACAGCTCTGTTCATTTTTCTTTACCTTTTTCTTTCTGCCCTTCAAACTAGACATTTCAATTGGCCTGTCTTCACTGATTCTTTCCTCTGCCTACTCAAATCTGCTATTAAAACACTCTAGTGGTTTTTTCACTTATGCTTTTCAGCTACGTAACTTACATTTAGCTCCTTTTTATAATTTCTCTATGATACTCTCTATTTGGCAATACCTCATTCTCCTGGTTTCCTTTCGCTGAGTATATGAGACAGTTTACTTAAAGTCCATCTATTAAGTCCAATGTCTGTGCATCCTAGGGGAAGTTTATTTTCCTTTCTCCTGTGAAATAGCCTTTCTTGTTTCTTGCATACTTTTTTTTTGAAAACTGAGTGTCAAATATTATAATGTGGCAACCCTAGCGATCATTTTTCCTTCTTCAGGGTTTATCATTACTGTTTTTTGTAGTCGTTTCCTTGTTTAATGACTTTTCCAAATACTGTAGTTTGAATTTTTTCATATGTGTGACCACTGAAGTCCTCATTCTATTAGCTTAGTGGTCATACAATGATTGGAAAGAGATTTCCTTAAAAGCCTGGAACCAAAAGTCTTTGCAGATGGGCTCCACATGTTGAGACACGCCTTCAACTCTTAGACACGCAGTTCACAGCTCTGCCTTTGCCTTCGCTTCCTGCTTATGCTGAGCCACAAGGTCAGCCAGAGGTGAGATCACAAGACTTTTTCAGTTCTTTTCCAAGCACATGCACAGCCCTGGTCAAGTGTGTAGTCTTTTAGATTCCCGGGTCAGAGAATTTCAAAGCCCTTATTCCCTTTCCTCCCAAGCTTCTGGTTAGTGTTTTTTGTTGTTGTTGTTGTTTTGGTGTTTTGGGTTTTTTTTGCCTCAACTGCTATCCCTTCCTCACATAGCAATGACTTAGTACATCTGCTTGTAAATATTTTTGACAAACACTCCCAGTGTAGTCACTTTAGCACAGGAAGAATTTCAAGTTAGGTGAGATACAGGTAAGTCTTCTGTGTAAGTCTTCCAGGGAGCCACCAGACAGATCGAATCAAATCCATTACAGTTCACTGTGGATGAGGTCCATTCTGCTCCCTCTATACTAGTATCAGTACCAAGAACATGGGCTGTTACTTACAAGGCTACCACTAAGCTGAAGAGCAGGGGATGGCACCAGACTAAATTAAAATGCCATGAAGTTCACTGTTCTAACCAAGAGTCAGTGATTTTTCTGGACTAAATGTTCCCCTGGATGCTATGACCTTTTGGTTAGTTTCCAGAGTCATGAAAAAGTAGATTCAGAGAGTTTTGGCCACTTTTTGTTGTTGTTGTTGTTGCTTTTATAGAGGGATGAACTTCTTGTGTTCCTTATTCCACCAATTGTTTCAAGTCCAGGATTATGCTAAATTCGGAAAATACATTGCTACCTGTCTGCATTACAGACTCCAATGATCTCAATCAAGCAAAAGTAGCTTGATATAACCTTTTATTGTCTTATTTATAACTGTACAAGGAGTCATCTGCCCAGAGTCTTGTCATCCCCAACCTCCATCTTTTATCACACACAAACTCTTGGCAAATGAGTAAGGCTCCTAAGTAAAACTAAATAAGACCCATTGTAAAAGATGGGACTAAGTAAATATTCTGATTTTTTCCCTTTAAAGCTCTCAGGGACTAAGACAACTTAAGAAAAAACAATTGACTCAACAGTCTTCAGCAATCTTTATATTGTCAAGAGATCCACTGTGCAATTATATCATTCCCTTAGTGAGTCTTATTCTTAAAATGGGCTTGACACAGTACTTGATACACTCCAAGTACAAAGGTTCCTATTTACAAACCATAAAATAAAATACTGGGAAGAAAACCCTGGAACATAATATACAAATTTACATGTTTAATTTTGGATCTGAATTCACGACAGCCAGAGTTAAAAAAACAAAAAAACAAAAAAAAACAAGAAAAAACTTTGACCAGACAATCAGTTAGTTACACTGAGTAGTTCTGTCAAAAAAAAACCCCAAAAAACTAAAACAGCTGAGAAAGGAAAACATGTGAGCTGGTCTTTAGAAATAACACATTAGATAAAATTCTTCATAACATTCTAATAAAAGCAACAGCAAATCTTGTACTCAAGATTTGACTCAAATCTTGACTCAAAGTGTCATTCCTCAGTGCCAGTCAAGAGCCTAATACAAGGCACAACTCAGAGAAAGGAAACCTGCAGGAAACTAGTTAGTCCTTTACTGCTGGTAACAACAACAACAAAAAAAGCGGCCATGATCATTTACCCTCT